GGGGTCCCCCCCCCCCCCCGAATTCTCCAATCGTTTCTTCTTACGTTTTGTTTAGGGATTTTGAAATTCTTGAGTGTTTATGAGCTAAAAAAAATACCAATACGGTCCCTCGATTATTGGATAGATCTAACTACTTCGTTTTGGATCGATTGAGAAAAAACCCTTGTTGGAATTTGAATCTTCAGAAGATCATCAACAACGTTTTCCAAATCGGGATTCCGTTGGGTATTTAGTGAAGACAAATATGAAGATATTTTTGTGACTGTTCTCTCTGTTTCGCCTTTTGTTTAATCTCTTGGATTCTTGAATGGCTGCTCAGGGAACAATGGGTTGGTCCCACTTTTGACTTCTTGGAGCTTTGAGACGATGATTACTTCTTGAAATCAAACACTGATTAATTAGTCCTAACTGCTCGTTAGGTAGATTAAGAATCAAGAAATTAAAAAGTGGGCAGTGCCGATAATTGGTGATTTATTGGGGGTTGCATGCTTAGTTCGTCAAACCCTCTTCTCGTGAGTAGTTGAATCGTGCAAGTGAATAAAAATCGTTTCTTGATTTGATTGCGATGCCTCATAATGTCCCTGGTCCCTGCCCGCCTTTAAAGTGGTAATGGAAAAAGTTGGCTAACTATCATTTTGTCTGCATTCAAATCTCTTGCCGAGATGGAGATATCAGACCATGGCACATGTCGCTAATGGGTGATGCTTCTTGAAGCTGATAATTTTCTAACTTATTTTTTTTTGGTAAATGAAGGGAGTTGCTGGGCGTTCTCAGCGATTGGAGCCGTTGAGGGCATAAACAAGATTGTGACAGGAGACTTGATCTCGTTGTCGGAACAAGAGCTGGTTGACTGTGACACATCATACAACCAAGGTTGCAATGGAGGTCTCATGGACTACGCCTTTGATTTCATCATCAACAATGGTGGTATTGACACCGATAAGGATTACCCCTACAAGGGTTCTGATGGTCGTTGTGATCAGAACAGGGTCAGTACTCAGCTTCCCTTCCCTCCAATGGCAATCGAGCGGCATAGCCGAAAAATCTCTCTCTTATAGATTTGCTCTTCTCCCTCTCTCTCTGGTTGCAGAAAAACGCCAAGGTGGTTACCATTGATTCCTATGAGGATGTACCCGTCAACGATGAGCAAGCCCTGAAGAAGGCAGTTGCTAATCAGCCTGTTAGTGTCGCCATCGAGGCCGGTGGCCGCGCATTCCAGCTCTATAACTCGGTAAGAAAGAACGAGTCTATCAGATCGTGAGTGAATATCGAGCATCCAAGGTTGCATCTTTCTCACTGCGTTAATGCTGTATCCGTAGGGTGTTTTCGATGGAATCTGTGGAACAGAGCTAGACCATGGGGTTGTAGCTGTAGGGTACGGAACCGAGAACGGAAAAGACTACTGGATCGTGAGAAACTCGTGGGGGAAAAGCTGGGGAGAGAGCGGATACATAAAGATGGCACGGAACATCGAAGCTTCGACGGGTAAATGCGGAATCGCGATGGAAGCATCGTACCCGATCAAGAAGGGTCAGAACCCGCCAAACCCGGGACCTTCCCCGCCATCTCCAGTGAAGCCTCCGACCGTTTGCGACAATTACTACACGTGTCCCGAGAGCAGCACTTGCTGCTGTCTGTTCCAGTACGGAAAGTACTGCCTCGCCTGGGGATGTTGCCCGTTGGAAGCCGCCACTTGCTGTGAGGACAACTACAGCTGCTGCCCTCACGATTATCCTGTCTGCAACGTCCAGCAAGGAACCTGCCTTATGGTAAGGAAGAAATCGAGCTTTCGGATTCAGAAAACCGAGGCGTTTACGATCGTGAAATCGGGTTTCTGACTCGGGTTAACGGGTGTATTTTTTTTATTTGCAGAGCAAGAACAATCCATTGGGCGTGAAGGCATTCAAACGAATTCCAGCGAATCCGATCTGGTCGCAGGGCAGGAAGAACATTGCTTAAGACAGAAGCCAAGGGAGACATGAAGAGATTTATCTTCATCTTCATCAGCCTCTATGTTGTATTGTTCTTCCAAATCTTGTAAATAACTCGTTTCAGTTTATCATTTAAAAAAAAAAAGAACAGATTGATTTCATAAAAAATTAAGCATTATCAAATTTAAATTATTAATGTTATTATGCTTGTACCCTTTATGGAATTAGCATTTCGGTTTAATGAAATTTCGATTTCCCTTTCAGTGCCTCCCTCTTCTACTGCTAACCCACATAAATTACAATGAAATAAAAAATTATTATTATTATAAATAAATTTTATATGTATACACGAATGTTAAAAATTGTTTTTTAATAATATATGCATTATTATTATCAATGAAAATGGATAATATATTTGGGTACTTTTATTGTTATAGTATCCTGACTAAAATAAACAAAGCCAATCCCTTGAATTTTTTTTTTAAAAAATTCCGTGAAAATATGAGAACTGAACTAGCAGAATATATGAGAATATGAACGATAGTTACAAGTGATTTTTATAGAATTTTTTTTAAAAAAATCGTAATTTTTTAATTCATCATTTTATATAGAAGTTACAAGTGATTTTTATAGATTTTTTAAAAAAATATAAAATTCGTAATTTTTTTTATAGATGTAGGTATTTTTCGGGATTTGGTTTAGAATTTTAACGGTTCGGTTTGGGAACGGTTTATTTGATATTTTAAAATTTAAACCAAATTAATAACGCATATTATTCGTTTCGGTTCGGTTTCGATTTTCATTAAAAAAATTAGATTTTCTTAAGAAAATTTTCATAGATTTTTAAAAAAATAAAATTCGTAAATTTTTTTTATAGAGGTGGACGCATTTTCAGGATTCGGTTCAGAATTTTAGCGGTTCGATTCGGTAACGGTTTATTTGGTATTTTAAAATTTGTACTAAATTAATACCATCAATTTTTAGGTTTGACTTTGATTTTTGTTAGAAAAAATTTTTAGATTTTTTTAAGAAATTTTCAGTTTTTCAGGAGTTTTATAAAATTCGGTTTAGTTGCAAAAAATTCGAGTATAATTCAGAAATTTTGAATGTTACGTTTGAGAGAAAGAACCGAACCGAACTGAACCGAATCATCCATCATTCTTAAAAAAAAATCGATGGAAAATGTTAAACCACGTGCTGCGCATAACATTAGAAACTGAAACAGCAGAAACAAAAAAAAAACGGCATGAAGATCGTTCGCCAACGAAAACAGATTAGCAGAAAAACGATGCTTAGAGGTTAAATTAACACAAATCCCAAACTATAATCAACAAATCTCCTAACTAATCTCTCTATTTAATCTCTTTTGTAACGAAAGCAAAAAATTATAAAAAATGCTCCACTCTCACCGCAGATTCTCCGTATCCAATCTCGGGATCTGAACGACTAAGGATCTCCGGCGCCTTTCCTTTGATGGGACAATCGTCGTCGTTGACCGGAACTTCCATCGCTCGGAGCTCCGGCGACGGTCACCGATCGAGATCGCTATCGCCGGTTAAATCTGACGGTTCGTCGGATCACACGTGGCGATTACCCGACGAGTGCTTGGTTTGCGTGTTTCAGTTGCTGAGCTCCGGTGATCGGAAACGGTGTTCTCTGGTTTGCCGGCGGTGGATGACGGTGGAGGCGCGAAGCCGTCACCATCTCTCGCTCTACGCTAAATGGGATCTGTTCCCGGCAATACCTTCCCTGTTTTCTCGATTCGATTCCGTCACGAAGCTTACGTTGAAATGCGACCGCAGATCTATCAGCATCGGCGACGAAGCGCTTATCAGTATTTCTTCCCGGTGTCGGAATCTGACAAGGCTCAAGCTCCGGGGATGCCGTGAGATTACCGCCGCCGGCATGAAGGGCTTCGTCGAGAACTGCAAGGGATTGAGGACATTCACTGTTGAATCCTGTGATTTTGGTTCCGATGGCGTGAAGGTCGTGCTCGATCACTGCTCGAATCTGGAGGAGCTGTCGGTGAAGCGCCTCCGTCGAACCATCGGCGAAGCTTGGAAACCGGTCGGACCAGGTGCAGCGGCATCTTCATTGAAGATGATTTGGTTAGAGGAGCTTTACCTCGGACACTGTTTCGGTCCGGTCATCGCCGGTGCGAAGAATCTCAGAACGCTAAAGCTTGTCCGATGTTCCGGCGAGTGGGACGAGATTCTGCAAGAGACGGCAGAACAGAAGCTTCCTCGTTTAGTGGAGATTCATATCGAGAGAATCAACCTGACAGATCTTGCTCTTTCCAGAATCTCTAAACGCTCAAATCTCGAGATTCTTCACCTTGTGAAAACCCCTGAATGCACCAATGTTGGATTAGCCATTGTTGCAGAGCAATGCAGGTTCTTGAAAGAACTTCGCATCGATGGTTGGAGGACGACATTGATCGGCGACGAAGGGCTCGTGGCAGTGGCCGAGTTCTGTCCTCAGTTACAGGAACTGGTTCTGATAGGGTTAAACCCGACAAAGACAAGCCTAAAACCGCTGTCCGCAAAATGTCGGAATCTTGAGAAACTAGCATTGCATTGTAGTAACACGGTAGGTGATCTCGAGGTTTCTTGCATTGCCCGGAAATGCACATCTTTGAAGAAGATATGCATCAAGAACTGCCCGGTTTCCGACCTCGGGATCAAAGCCCTGGCCGAGGGTTGCCCCGGTCTGGTGAAAATGCGGGTCAAGAAGTGTAAAGGAGTGACGGGCGAGTGTTTGGGCTGGTTAGGCTCGGTTAGGCCAACACTTTCTGTGGATATAGATGCCGCGGGATCAAACCCTAATCATGGCGGGTTCGAAGAAGATGGAATAAAGTCCCCTCCTCTACACGCCCGAATCGCAGGCTCGTGCAAAGGGCCGAGCAGTCACGACCGTTTAGGGTCTCTGAGATCGCGGGTTCAGCTTTTTAGCAGGAGGAGACTAGCGGCTTGGACCTTGGGGCCATGGTCACGCAGGTGATGGCGGGTCAGCTTCTTCGGCACTATGTTTGTATAGTAAACGACCAAATCACGAATTCATTATCAACAATATGCTATTGGGTCGTGAAATTATGATAATGTTTTTATCCGTACGATTGTCTGAGATCATGGATCAATATGCAGAGACGTTACACACAATCTCGAAATTGACTAGTCAAACCAAAAATCTTGGGTCCACAGTTAGGTCCGAGTGGAAGAAGACTGCACGAAACAAAGCACAGTTTCTTCCTGGAGTTCTGTTCTTATGACATAAACATTATATTATTAATTTTTTGGAATTTAAAGAGCCCTACAAGCAAATCACTAATTTTTTTTTTAAATCCATATAAAATTATAAACTTTAGAGAAAAAAACACTGAATTTTTAAATTTTGACAAAAAAACACTAAACTTTTTATTTTATCAAATAAATATTAAACTTTTTAAGTTTGACAAAATAAATATTTAACTCTTCTACGATTATCAAAATAAACAAAATGACTAACGTGCCTGAGATGCAAACAAATTATTTTACTTAGTTTTTTTTTTACAATCGAAAAAAGTTCATGTATTTTTTTGGATCACTAAAAAAGTTTAGTATTTTTTTTATAATTGTAGAAAAATTCATGTATTTTTTAGATCACTTAAAAATTCAGTATTTTTTTAGATTCATTTAAAAAATTTAATGTTTAATTGACAAAAAATAAAATTCGGTGTTTTTTGTCAAAATTGAAAAGTTTAATATTTTTGTTTGGTATTTTCCGTAAACTTTATAATTTTTATATAAATCATGAACTTTATTAATCTTACCAAATCTTTTTTAAAAATTCATGATTTTTATACTATTATACCTCATTTCTACTCATTTGCTCATCATTACCTCGTCAAACTACGGTTCTACTTATGTTAATTTTGCTCTTCGTTCTATGTTCCAAGTGGTTTACATTGCAAATATATGTGTGGTACTAGGGATCACTAATTAGGTTAATCACCAAATAACCCAATCGATCCAAAACGAAAATTTCATAACTTTAACGCAACCAAATCCGATATAAAAAAAGAAGGGTTATGATTTCTTTAAACAAAAAAAAATTCGAATAAAAGAATAATTGTAAAAACAAAAAGTTTTTCGAGAAAATGAATATTTTATCCACAAAAACCGAATCCGACGGAACTCGAACCAAAACCGAACTGAATTCAAATACAAAACCGAATGATTATAAATTTTTTAAAACCGAAATAACCAAACCCAAATATAACCAAACGAAACCCGACCTGATACCCGAAATGGCCACTCTAATAGATACCGAAAAAATGGCCACATGCCGGTATAAAGCCTCGTGTTTTGGCGGAATTTCCGGTTTTCAATTTCCAATTCTAAGTTTACAAAAGAATCTGAATAAAACAATAATCATACAAAACCCCATGAATTTCAACAGAAATGTAGCTTATGAGAAATACTAAACTTTCAAAGATCATTGCAATAACACTTAGCTAGCTAACTTAAACGCATCAATGAATAAGCCATAAGTGAAACCCATCTTGAAGTTATTGAGAAGGGCAAGTGGGAATGTTACCTTGGGACGGCTGTAGTAAAATCTCGTCACATACTCTGTTATGAGGACGCAGAGCACGGCCGCAATAACATCGTTAACTCCCAACGCTCCGAACGAGAGAGAGATGGTCTGCGCCACGTAAAACCCGCCTAACAACGAGATTCCCCCGAAAAGCGTCCTTCTTGAAGGGCTCCGGAAATAATTCCTGGAAATCCCGGGAACCGTTCTTATGATGTCAATTAATCTCCTCGGACCTTCATTCTCTTGCACAGCTCTAATGCTCGTGAACCTCCTCGTGGACCTACGTGAGGGTCGGGATGATATCAACAGTCCGGAATTCTTCCGTGATGGTATATTATGGCGATCATGGGTTGAACTCTGAAAGTTGGTGGAGATCAAGCTCATAGAATGAGCCATTTTCTTCCCTTTTTTCTCCGCTACTCCTACTCGCTGAAAGAAAATGAAAGAAGATCGTGAAGTTAATATTATGAGAGTAGCAAATTTAACGTTCTTGTTATGTTGGCGCCATCAGCCAACGCTTGTTTCGGAATTTCAAGACAATGTTCAATATCGATGCCCAATCAAAAGACAATGAGATAGCGGGGAAAGGTTTCGAAGGACGACCACAACCTATAAAGGAGAATCAAACAGAGCAAGACTTGACAGAATGCTACTGATAAATTAGAACATGTTCCTTCAAGAGGTGCATATTTCCAGAAGCAAAATCAGCAACTAAATATCTATACATGTCCTACAGATTCAAACCAGCAAATCATAGTTTTAAAACAATATCTCTAACCCGTTTTCCGGTTCTTGCAAAAAGACCTAAGATCCCACCACGATACCCTTGAGGGCCATGCGATAAAGGGTTCGACAAAAGAATACAAAACATCCAAAAGAATGACTGTAGAACCTAACCCGAAGACGAATGTCTCAAGGTAAGAACCGAGTTTAGGGTCTTAAACCATACCTTGGCACCTGGTTGTAGGCCCGATCACGTAATGGTAAGCTAACTCAACCAGCGAATACCTAAACATAATAATCAAACTGTGTGATGAACCGACTATGTTCACACCGAGTACAAAACAAAGCAAATATATGAAAGAGTTTACTATACACCTACACAGTTTGTTGTTCATATAGGTAAAGAGGCTCAAAATCATAAACCACGATCACCCGTACAAAGTTGAAAACAGACCAACCAATATCCAGCCAAAATCTATGAATCTATACCGACACGACGAAATGCAAGAGATGGATTCCATGAGAAATCAGAAATGACAGTAACTTAGCGAGCCGGGCATGAACAGGAAACATCACAAATACACAAATTCGACGGATTTATAGCGAAATGCTAATGCAGATGTTTGGATGCGTATGAATTCATGGTAATTCAACATTCAGATAAGAATTCATATGGCAAATAGAAACCCAAACATCTCAACCATTACAACAATCCAATCCATTCACCAACTTATCCTATAAAATTTCTACCCCTCGTATCAATCAATCGCTGAATCCAAAAACTCACTTAGATTTTCTCAAGTACACATTGGTTCTTAGCAATTCAACACGAAATTTTCTCGACTATACGTTCCACTGAAAATCGCACAATTCTACAATCAGATTGAACCGAATCGAACCACCAAATTTCTGCTAAATCAAACCGGTACCCAGAACCTCCACCTGAGGTTACCAGGAACAGGTGGCCCAGATCGAATTGACCGGAGAACTTCCAAGCAGCTGTCGGCGATTCGGTGCCAAAAAGCTGAAACCGGAGGAAACGAACACAAATTGTTGGAAAGATAATCACTCTACCATTCCCAGTATACGATCAATCTGACCATCGGAGATCGGGAAATCAACCAAATTCTCCGATTGTTCTCTACAACCGTCGCGAACATTCCCGCCACTTCACAGCGTTACAGTCGGTCGAGGTTCCGTTCGAGGAGAGAGGAAGACGAAGAATGAGAAGTAGGATGAAGAAGAAAATGCTCACCGGAAAAACGGAATGGAGGCTCCAGGGACGAGGAGGAAGAATGCTCACCGGGAAAAAAGGAAACGGCGGCTCCGGCGACGTGGCGGGGAAGGACAGTCGCAGCACAACCTTGACCTTGTGTTTCTACGCCTGAAAAATCCAAAATGTTTCGAAATTACGAATAAACTTTTTCCGAAATCACAATACTCACCCAAAGTTTCAATAGGTGCAGGAAACACCCCAAAATCAAAATTAGCTCCATTAAAGTTCACAACTTTTTCATTGTCAACGAGATTGGGATCGAACCTTGATCAATTTTACAAAATTCCAAACAAATTAGAATCAGCGAATTCGAATTGCGAAATCGTAATGAAGTGATTCGTTTTATTGGAAACTCGCAGTCATCATCACATCAGAAGCTAAAACCAAAACCCAAGATCTCAGGACAAGTACACGAGATTATACAAAGTAAAAATAAAAATAAAAGACCATGTCTGAAACTGATCACTTATCATCCTGTCTGCCATGGATCAACCTCTCTTCCTCCTCCGCTGTCACTGCCACTGTCCCCGTTTCATTCCCCTTGTCGACGGACTGCGACCCCGTCAGCCTCGCCAGGACAACGAACGACATTCCCCCGACAACGTTGTTCAAACACCTCATGACAAAAACCGATGTCTTGAACACCAGCGGAGGCATCCACTTGTCGAGCAAGAACTCGACTCCGTTCAGCGTCTGGTACCTCAGGTTGCTGCTCAATCCCATGTGGGCCGCCCAAGTCGAGGCATTGAGCAGCGTAGGAGGCGGCTTGTTCGGTGTCTCGAACTCCGGGTCCATCTTCTTTCTCATCATGATCAGCCCGTTGGATAGTGCGGTCCCCACGAGCCCGGCAGCCATTCCCACAGCTGCAAATACGACTCCTTTGTACACGAACGTGCCGAACCGGTTCAGAACTGTGTAGCTGCCTGGCTCGAACATGTGGCTCGGCGGGCAGGTTGCGAAGATCCCAGGCAAGGCATTGGAGGCTAATGAGGAAGCTGAGGTTGGAGCCAAGATGTACATAAGGGCGAAGTTAAGGATGGAACCCACGACGAGAGTGCAGAACACGAAATCGAGCTCGTTGAGGCCAAAGTTCGGGCGGGTTGCCATATCTCCGAGGACGCAAGCCGTTACGCCAACTAGCTCCTCCATTAGAACCTTGAAAGGGAACTGGGGATCGGCTGAGACTCGTGACCGCCATCCTTCGATCAGAAGACCTAACGGTCCCCACGAAGACGAGGAAGAGTCATCCCTGTCTGAATCTCCATGGCCGTCCCATTTTCCACCGTCTCCACCATTTCCACCGCCATTTCCTGAGAAACCGCCAGTTCCATCACCTCCGGCAAATGAAAGCTGGAGGGTTGAAGGAGAGGAAGAGCTGGAGAGCTTGGTGTGGAGTGAAGAGGCAGACCCATTTCGAGGGAACGTGATGGAAAGCGTTGGATCACATTCCCCTCGGGTTATTCTTGGCAATGGCACTCTGCTCTGTTTGGGATTCACAGAAAAGAGAAGCTGTGCCATGGCCGCCATGTTTGCTCGCGAGAAGCTTAAGTTAACTAAAAACGGTATAATCGATCTCGCCTCTGAACCAAAAAAAGAGAGGAAGGAAGATGTAATCTCTGCTATTACATATCACACAGATAAAATCTAAACTGGTAAAGATCTGGACAGACAGAAACGTACCTGAGAACGACCGGGCAACTAGGGATATATATGGAGGCAGAAGCTGAGAAAATTAAGGAGAGATACAATCAGATGCAACTTGTAAGAATAGCATTACAGAGACAGATGAGATGAAACCTTTGACCATTTTTTCCACGTGCAAAATAAGTGCCGTAACGTTCACCTACTTCAACAACCATGACTTCGAGGTTGACCCTCAAATGTTTTTTACGTGTGGAATCAATCTGGATGTAACTCATGCAATAATAAACTAAAAAACCAATCTTGACAAAAAAAAAAGAAAGAAACAAAACCCAGAATCATGTTGTAAATAATGCAAAGAACCAACATATAAAGCAATCTCCTTTCCCACAATCTGAAAGATTTCATTACAATAAAGAATGAGAGAAATGAAACATGAGAGACTGAAAAAGGGACATAAGGTGATGCATCCATGGAAGAATCTTATTCTTATCCATGAAACGTAAAGAAGACCAAAATCAGAGGGAATCTTCACTTCAGTAGAACATGCAAAGCTTACAGAACAAAACAATGGATAGGAATTACACTCTCTAACAGACCAAGCACAAGCTTCAGGACATAATCGGGAAACCAAACACAGATCCGACAGATCAGTAGATAACAATCACGACTCTTGAAATGCTTATCCAAACAATTTAACACCCAAATCTCCACTAACTTACGGGAGAAAGATTCAGACATTAGTGAAGGCCAAATATTTACTTCACCAGAGCGCAGACGAAAAAAACGAGGCTAGGCGTACCTAAGCAAGACAACACGACGATCAATCCTCTGCAATTCCGTTCAGAAACGACCGCTCTTCGGGATGTATGAGCCGAGGATTCAAAACCCAGTACGAGGTAAAAGGTTCTGCGTCGAATCGAATCCAGAAAGAACCCTTGTCTGTTCTCTCAGCTCGCGTCGTGGTGGAAAAACGAAGAGAGATTTCAGAGTCTCTGTGAGCCAGACGGAGACAAAAGAGGGGAGAGAGGAGAGAGAGTACGCAAAGAGGCTGCGGAAGATTTGGCTCGTCGAAAGCCGCCGGCGAAAATCAGAAATGGGGGGGAAGAAGAGGAAGGGAAAGGCGAGAACAGAGACGGATTTTGGGGACGAATTCAGATCTAGGGCTTTCGGGTTTCAATTGTAATTTTGAGTTTTATCGTGGGCATTTGGTCATTCTACGGGTTCAAGATATTTTTTTACAGCTAACAATAACATCAAATCTCCAAAATTTACATTGATTCCCGTTTTAAAAATAATTAGGCTTCCAAATTTGCCTTCATTAATTACCATGCATTAAATGTCATCCTTTATGGAAAACTTTCAATTTCGTTATATTTAATTATTGAATTATATTATTTTTTATTCTGTTTATAAAATTTAAATCTCTTCAATTACTAGATACTTTTCCGGTTTAAATTTTGTTCGAATTTCTTTTATGTTCATTTTATTTATACTAATTTAGTTTTAAAAAATCAAACACCAATTAGTTTTGGATTTCAATTCAAATACAATTTTTTGATTTAGTTTGATATTAGACGCTCACATTCTCAATTGAACATAGACCGTTCTTTTTGTTACCTTCGGAAATTTATGGGGTTGAGACTAAAAACTTGTTCGAGGTCGATTAATGTCTATTTAAACATTTCAGCTAAAAACGAAATAGTCATAACTGAAAAGGACTAAAGTGCAAATTATGATGCAATTCGCCGTCGCTTGTAAGTAGGGGTGTCAATTTCGGTCCGTAGTCCGACCCGAGTCTACCCTAAAAATATCGGATTTTGGGCCTAAATATTTCGATCCGAAAAAATCGAGCTTTCGGAACAGATCACATCGAGTTTCGGACCAATCCAAAAATCCAAATTTTTTTTTCAAAAAAATACAAAAAAAAAATGAATTTACAACAAAGGAATTGAGCGGTCCGCGCCGGGCCGGTCCGACCTGACCGAATTCGAAATTATAGGGTCATAATTTGGATTGTTTAGACCCAGAAAAATCGGATCAACTCAAATTCGAATTCAAAACCCTCGAACTAATAATGAACCCAAGCCAGACCCACCGAATTGACATCCCTACGTTCAAGTACTCTCTCTCCACCCTTTGCAAGACAACCCAACATATAGTGATAGAGTTTTTCCACTTTCAGTTTAAGTGCATAGGCGGTTAGATATGGTATCAGTTTTATTTGAAATTAACTTTGTGAACATAACCCAACATATCGTGGGTGAGTGGTCAAGTTTGGGGTGGGAGGTAATTCCACCTTGAGGTTGAGTGTTCGATTCCTCACTAGTGGAGAGAGAGATAATTTCTGGGTCTATACGGTCCATATACAAAGACTGCTCGCGGACCGAAGGTTTACCTAGTCAGCGCACCCGAATGATAGCAACTAGGGATCCTCCGTCATAAAAAAAAAAACTTTAACATCAAAATTCTATCGGGCTTACTTCAACATATTGTTTACCAAAAAAAAAAACTCTGTCGGGTTGAAAAATTATATTCGGTGCATCTTATGATAGGGACGGTTTACGTGATTGACAAAACAATAAAGTATTATCCAAAAAATAATGAGGATAATTTATCTTTTTTCATTTAAAAAGAGTGAAAAAAATTCAACTGCAGCAGAAATTTTATTTAAATTTTTTATTCATCCAATTTAGAAAGAAAAAAACATGGGGAAAGAAACGTACCCATTTAAATGGTAATCATAATCAAATTGATGGCACTGTACAATCTGCATTATAATTGGTCAATACGTTAAAAGAAATCACAAGGTTTTAAAAGCTAGGACTATGTGGTACAATTTACATATATCCTACCGTTACAAGGATTATATTCCATATATTAATACTTTATACAACAAAATATATTATCTCAAGGGGCGAAATTCAGCTGGCCGAAGTTGAAAGGGAAGAGCGAAGAGGAGGCGAAAGCGACGATCGAGAGAGAGAATCCGAACGTGACGGTGGTGCTTTTGCCGTGGGGGATGGGCTCCTCTGACGACTTCTGCTGCAACACAATCAATGTTTTCTTCGATCCCCATGGCAACGTCGTCAACCTCTCTCATATTGGATGATATATATACATATATATGATCTTGAATATAATATGAACGTATGTTAAATAAGCTCACGTGGCATATTCCAATAAAACTCGGGTCCCTTTTGCTATCTTGATAACGTTTCAGTATTTTTTTTGTAACCGAGTATTTTTTTTATACCAAAATCTATACTAATTTTACAGTTGGAGATCAGCCATATGATTTGGAATGTACGGTTTCTCTTCAAATTCGAGATTCGAATTCGGAATAGAACAAATGTTTGCGTCCTCGTTTCACCGGTTAAACTAAGAAAGTTTAGACCTAATATATTGGATTATTTAATTGGTAAGAAATGGGGTAATGTTTCTTCCTAACTCAAGTTCGAGTATCTATTTGGAGAGGGAATACATAAAAACTTATTTGTTCCTCTAAAAGATATAGTTGGAATACACAAATGGGGTAATGTTTCTTCCTAACTCATGGCTAACCTTCACCTCACCTCATCCCTCAGATCATTCACCTTGTATGATTACTTTCCAACCAACCACCAAGTCCATTCCAAAACCATTCAAAATCTTCAATTTCATCATTGACCATCCTTCTTTTTTGTTGACTCTTTCATCTTCCTGGCAAATGGCGGGACGTCGAGTTTCATCACTATCGGAACTGCACCAAAAACTAAGGAAGCAAAAAAACCCCATAAAAACTCTTTGCAAAGAAAATTATGGAGACTTACAAAAAAAGGTGTTACACTCACATTCTCTGTTACTTCTTGCGCAGGAAAAGGCTCTCCGTACTCCATCTTCCGAGTCATTTATGGAGGAAAACCAATGTTTACAGCGCTGGTCTCACCTTCATCAGATTGAGGAGAGATTTTTGAAGCAAAAATCACGGGTACATTGGCTTCGAGTTGGAGATCAGAACTCATGATTTTTCTATAGATCACTACTGATAAGGAACTCGAAGAATGCTATCCGACATCTTATTTTGGCAGATGGCCAACGCATAGTGGATCAAGAGAGCATTTCGGATGCAACAGTCAGTTATTATAGTGCTGTTCTCGGAAAGTCTGATCAGGATAGTTCATTATCAGAAAATCGACCCGAGGTACAGAATTACATTATCCGAGCACCGGAATCTGTTTTACAAACGGCGGCCAGACCATTCACACGCGAGGAGATCAAAGCTACTCTCAAAGCCATGCATTCGAATAAAACCCCAGGGCCGGATGGATTAACTGTGGGGTTTTTCTTAAAGTCATGGGATATTTTGGGAGAGGAATTTACGTAGGCAATCCTGAATTTCATGAGTTCCTCAGTGATGTCGCGATCGATAAATGCTACCACCTTAGTCTTGGTTCCAAAGGTAGCGGGGGCTGAAAGGTTGTCGGACTTCAGACCTATTTCATGTTGTAATACCATTTATAAAGTAATCAGCAAACTCCTAGCCTCGAGACTAAAGTTGGTAGTTGAGGCGATAGTACCTCCGAATCAATCGGCTTTTGTTCGTGGCCGAAGCATCACCGAAAACTGTTTACTAGCGGCTGAAATCCTCCAGGGCTATCATAAAAAGAATGTTACAGGTAGAGTGGCCATCAAACTGGATATCGCAAAGGCCTTCGACTCCATCAAATGGGATTTCATCTTGGATATTTTACACTCAATCGGAATTCCGGAGAGTCTACTGAATCCTATACGTGCTTGTATTACTACTCCATACTTTTCGGTTGCAGTCAATGGTGGTCTCTATGGGTTCTTCCCGAGCACAAGAGGCTTACGGCAGGGCTGCCCCCTATCTCCATACCTATTCATTCTAGGTATGTCTGTTCTGTCTTTGATGTTAGACAATGCTGCAGTTGCGAACCGCTTGGGTTATCATCCAGGCTGTCGAGACTTGGGAGTTACCCACCTTGGATTCGCAGATGACCTACTCGTCTTCACTGATGGTTCAGATGAATCACTACACTCGTTACTCGGATTGGTTGACACTTTTACCGAGATTTCAGGCCTCCGTATAAACAGCTCGAAATCGAGCCTCTATGCTGGAGGTTACTCGTCGGACCAGATTCGTCACATGTCTTTGCTCACTGGCATTGCCCACTCAAATCTCCCTTTTCGCTACCTAGGGATACCCATATCTTCTATGAAACTAACGGCCAACGATTGTCTTCCACTCATCACAAAAATCATGAATAGAATAGAGACATGGTCCACCAAATGTCTCTCTTTTGCAGGCCGGTTGCAACTCCTGATCTCAGTCATTTCCGGGATCATTGACTATTGGTGCAACGCGTTTATAATCCCCAAGCATACCATAAAACAGATTAATTCTCTTTGTTCTGCTTTCATATGGAAAGGGAAAGCGGAGCCAGTTGGAGGGGCAAGAGTTGCTTGGGAAAACATTGTGAAACCGCGGAAGGAGGGGGGACTTGGAATCAGGAATCTGTCTCTATCTAACGACATTTCGGGCCTCAAACTCATTTGGAGTCTCTTCTTCCAATCAGGATCTCTATGGATAGGATGGCTGAAACAAAAATACTTGTCTCGTGACTCCTTCTGGTCGGTGAGAAGCAAGCAGAGTCAGTCATGGACATTCAGGAAACTCCTAAAACTCAGGCCATGGGCGATGTCTTTCTTCCATTCTCAGTCAGGAAATGGGCAAGACACCAGATTCTGGTTCGACCCTTGGACTCCTATGGGTCCATTGATCCACTTTTTCGGAAGGGGAGGGCCGTCACAGTTGGGTATTCCACTACAAGCCATGGTTGCCGATGTCTACTCCAACAACGTCTGGCTACTACCCTCACCCAGATCAGAAACTGCGATGCAACTTGCCATCTACCTGGCCTCTATTGAACTATCTGACGACCCTGATTCGGTGTCTTGGCAGGTCGGGGGAAAGCCAAGATCAGAATTTTCGTCGAAAGAGATCCGGAACTCTATCTCAGCATCTGGTATATCTGTCCCTTGGGTTGATCTAGTTTGGCATAAGCATCACATTCCCAAATTTGCTTTTAATTGCTGGCTGGTAAACCTGAATCGTTGCCCCACGAGGTCACGAATGATCTCATGGGGTTTTACCGTGGATCCC